CCCTCTGCTGCCTGCTGCCCACCTCTGCGCCCCCACCGCAGCCCTGGGGGGCTCTCGCTGGCCTGGGGGGCCCCGCAGCCGGCCCCGAGGCCCGCGACCGGACGGTGAGTGCCCGACCCACACCCAAGGTGGTGGGAGCCAGGAAAAGGGAGGGCCGTAGAGACACCAAAGGACTGGGGAGAAGTGGGAGTGGAGGGGGAGGTGTGGAGCCCAGGCCGGCCACCGGGAGGGTGTGGCCATGTGGTCTTTGTGTTGCAAGAAGCAGGAAGACGGAGTGGGAGGCTGGGGGTGCAGGGGGAGGTCGGGTGGGAAGTCCCTCCTGGAATCTGACTGCAGTGCGCGAGTTGCAACCCACGGCCTTTTCCGGGCCTCGGGCAACAGCTGTTTCCCAGCTCCCCTCCCCCAGTCTGGGTCCCTTGACCCCCTTTAGGATTGCAGTTGGAAAGAGAGTGGGCAGAGTGGGAGGAGTGTCACCTCTGGACTTCGGGGAGGGGTCGAGGGGCCTTTTGCCTTTATTTGCATCTCTTTGGCCAGCGCTGGCCCTCTCTGCAGTCCCGGTGGAGGAAGGAGAGGGGGAGGGGCCATTGTGTTGGGAAAGTCCCTTCGGGGAGGGGGTGAGTCTTGGGGAGGGAAGGGTTAAAGGTCCCCTGCCTGATGGACTGTTAACCCTGTGGTGCCCAGCGAGCCCCATCTCTGGTAGGGAAGTGGTGGCCCGGGTTCCCCTCCCACCCCGCCTCCTGTGCTGGAACTCTGTGGATAGGAAAGAAAACTTCCATGGGTCAGTTCCTGGCAGCCCGCGGGGACCCGGATTTCAAGACCAGAGTCACAGATGTGGAAACTGAGGACCTGGTTTTAGACCTTTAAGAACCCTTGCGCCCCGACCTGGTGTGCCCAGGGAGGGCCAGGCACCCTGGAGCTGAGCTCGGGTGGGGCAGGAAGGCGGCTCCTGGGTCCCAGCCCCCAGGACTGCGCTCCCTCCCTCCGAGGCCGGCCGCGGGTCTGGCCTTCTAGTCTCCAGGCCTTTGCCACTTCCGGGGGTGTGGCTTCTCTGCGGTTGGACACGAGAGGGCAGGAGACCTGAAGCTTGTGACTCTGGGTGGGGTCAGTCGCTGTATCCCGGTGTGACCTTGGCCACTTGTTAGGGTGGACCTCAGTTTCCCTGTCAAATGGAGCAGGCAGAATTTGGCCCTGTTTTGGCACAGAGGTACTTTCCTCGGATAAAAGGAAGGACTTCCACAGTGACAGGAGCAGGGGGCAGGTAGCTGGCCAGACAGGGGACCCCAGGGCAGCCTCCCCAGCACAGTCCTCTTGCTCTCTAGTGCCTAAGGAGCTGGGAAGTCTGGCTCTAAGCGGGGGCCATAGAATCGACAGAAATGAGGCGGGGAGCAGAAGGGAAACCGGGCGGCTGGGAAAGGGAGCAGCAGACCCTGCCACCTGGGTCCCTCTGGGACACCTGAAGGCCAGAGGGGTGATGGATAGTGACCACGCCCCTCCGCCTCTCGCAGGTCCTCAGCCATCTATCTCGCCAGCGGAGCAGCACCTGGAGTCTCCTGTACCTAGTGCCCCGGGGGCCCTGGCGGGCGGTCCCACCCAGGCGGCCCCGGGAGTCCGGGGGGAGGAGGAGCAGTGGGCCCGAGAGATCGGGGCCCAGCTGCGGCGGATGGCGGACGACCTCAACGCGCAGTACGAGCGGCGGGTGAGTGC